ACACTATTTGAGGACTATAACTAGCACAGAGGGGAGGAGAAGAACTTATCCCATACATCTTGATGAGAATCATACAATGGTTTGGGTTGGAAGCGGCCTTAAATATCACCTAGTTCCAACACCCCCAAGAAGACAATTTGGCTTTGTTAATTTAAGAATGGGAAGGAAACAAGGGCTTTACTAGGGGATCTAACCTGTTGTTTCAGTTCAGCTATCTCTTCTTCACAGGAAGCAATTTCTCTTTCTGCAAGCTTTCGGAAATCTTCATTCTCATCTGAAATATTTGAGTATGGTTAATCCTCAGACTTATATCAGTGCCATTCTGAGAAAATCATGAAGAACTTACTCTACCAAAAAAAAAAAAAAAGCCCAAACCAAAAGCAAATTACCACACAACCTTTCCCTCCCCCAAAACATTAAACCTGTTAGAAAATCAAATTACTAATATGCTCTGTAAAGAAGACTCTAAGTATATATTAAGTGTTTTCTAATCCTGTGCAGATATAAAACATGAGAAAAATCTGAAATAAAAGAATTTCCGCTAAAACATCCAAAACTAAAATCCAAGCCAACAATAAAGAATAATGATTACTGTGTCGGTGGTCAAACAACAGCAACGTCTGCACAGATTGGTTATGAATTTCCATCCTTGGAGATACTCAAAACCTAACTGGGCGAAACCCTGAGCAACTTGTGGGTGACCCTACTTGAGCAGGACTGGGTGATGTCCAAAGGTCCTTCCCACACCAGCCATTCTGTGGCTCTTAAAAACTATTTTCTGTATTTCAGTGTGGCAAGAACATAAAGGATTTAAAGAGTACAGTGGCTCCAAAATTGGCATTCCTTGTTAAAAGGAATAATGCCCCTATCACTGTATGCAAAAATCAGAATACTACAGTTCTAGGGAATACTAAATCATCTAACAAATGTCAATTGATGCTAAAATTCCTCTTCTACATTTTAGTTTTTTAACTGTTATCAAAATGAAGTTTGATTCTCGGTTAAAAAAAAAAAAAAAAAAAAAAAAAGCCCATTATTTGGCAGTGCTAAAAGTGTGCAGCCACTGACACACAACAAAATCAAATCACAGTGTGGAGACAGCAGATTCAGGTCCTGACTGCCAAAACGGAGACAGGCAGGTGGACTGGGCTGTCTTGACAGCAAGGGAAAGCTGGATTAAAAAAAAAAAACCAAAAAAAACTCCACCAAAACTTTAGAAGTTTTTTATCCCCGATTAGTTATCTTTGTTTTATATTCAATAGGTTCCAGTATCAGCACTTCCCACGCCGGCGGAAGTGCTTCCCCCACTCGTACTCGCGACCGGGGCTCGGGCAGTTTCTTTGCCCCCGGAAGGCCCGAGGGGGCGGCCGCGGCTCCCGCGGGTGACACGTGTGTCACCGTCGCGCCCCCGCCGCCGGGCCGCGCCCCCCGCGCGCACAGCCGCCATCCCGGCAGGCGAACGGCGCATGCAAATGAAGCTCCGCCCCGCGCCCGCCCCCCCGGGGCCGCTCCCCGGCGACGCCACGAGCGCGGGCCGAGCCCGCCGCGCGCCCCGTGCCGCACCTTGCGCCAGCTCCCGCGTGTCGCGCAGCTCCCGCTCCTTGTCGCGCAGCCGCCGCACGCGCGCCGCCAGCTCCGGCGCCGCGCCGCCCCCGGCCCGCGCCTCCAGCAGGCGGCGCAGGGAGGGCGCGGCGAACAGCTCCTCCAGGCCGGGCCGCGCGCTCAGCCCGCGCCGCGCCGGGAGCGCCCGTCCCACCGGCGCTGCCCGGAAGCTCCGCGGGGGCAGCGCGGCGGCTCGGTAGCCTTGCGCCGCGCGGAGGGCCCGCGAGAGCAGCCGCATGTCTGGCCGGGGCCGGAGCGCGGCCGCTCTCCTGTCGCCCGGCAGTCGCCGCCGTTCCGGAGACGCCCGAGCGCGCTTGGCAGCTTCCCTTCCGGGTTTCCGGAAGTTCCCGAAGCGTCTCGGCGCTGGCTTTGGGCGCAGTCGGAAATCATCGGGTCTCCGGTGGCGGAAATGGCCGAAATGGTTCGGCTTCCCTCGGCTCGCTGTATTCCGCGGTGGGGCAGGCGGGCTCTGATTGGCCAGCGCTGAGGGGGCGTGGCTCCGGCTCAGGGTCCCTGCCGGGCGCTCCGAGCGCCCTCTGCAGGCCCCGGATGGAGGTTTTAGTCATTCTGAACCAAAAAAAAAAAAAGAAATCAAAAAAGCTTCAAACCTCATCAAAACCTCCTTATCCCAAACTTATAGCCAGACTTCTGAGGAAGAGCCTCGGGCGTACTGAGGTTTCTACTAGGGCGGTTTAAAGCCGGACTAGCTTAAAGTGACGTTGGTGGGAAGAGTGAGCCTGGCCTCTGGATATCCGGGTTACTCTTACAGACCTTCTCCCTCCAGAAGAAATCTTCCGAATTAAAGTATGCTGGGGAGGACCGTGCAAAAATTGTGGAGGGATGTCCCCACACTGAAAACAGGTGCAAAATTGAGCATTTAGGAGAAAAGAAAATTGTCAGAGGAACCAAAAAGGGCAATTCAAAGTGCCTTCACAGATTAGCAGTGACACAAAAAGACAGCCCATTTACAAAATACAGATCTGAGTACAGTGTTTTACATGTTAGTTTCAAGTGAGAAAGCAGCGAGGATGCAGCCATTTAGGAACTGTGTGTTCTGGGTTGATCTGGGCAAATCCCTCCTGAAATGCAGATTGAGTGCATATTACCTTGTTTTAGATTACATCATTAAGGAGATTCTTGGCTAAACTCAAAACAGTTTCAAGAATATATTTTATTATAAAAATGTGCAACTTTCCGTAAAATTTTATTAGGCAGTATTTTGTATTGCAGTCTTTGGAGAAGTAAGAATTTTGTCCTTGCCTTCCTTCTGTCCTTGTTCATGTCTTACCAGACCTAGGCAATCATATCTTACAACTAAATGACAGTGCTGGAATAACAGTTACTTCCTTATGAAACATTAGTAAATCGTTATTTTCACAAATGTATTATCAAAAGCAAGGGTAATTATTGAAAACCTAAGTGGTTTTGGTAGTCAGAATACTTGAAAGTTTTTGTTCTATGATGGAAATTGAAAGGCTAGTGTGTGAATTTGCTATTAAAAATATTCAATATTAAAATTAATGGTTAGATAAAAATGTTTTCCTATAATTTTAAGTGCGCAACTTTGGATAAGGTGTATTGGTAAAGTAAAGTGTAGCAATAATTTATAAGTAAAAGTCACACTGGAAGACCTTTGTGGAGAATGTACAGCCTGTGTGAGTTGTCTGGCACTGATAAAAACCTGAGGCCATCACTATGAAATCTAACCCACCAAAAGCTTCCTTTGCACCCACTATTGCCTGGCCATGAAGCTCCTTGAAGTCTTCTTCCAGAAGCATAAAGGAAAAATGACCCAATTTATGCTTTAACAGACAAAATATTTTGATGTTCTGTAACAATGAATGAGCATCGAATTCTATGTGAGCCCAGCTTGTGAATAGACCTATGGAATACTCAGAAAACTTAGGGTAAGGGGTAATTTAAGATAAAGTTTCTGAGAGAAAAAAAAAGTAATCTGAGTCAATGACAGATTGTCAGCCTTTGAATCACCTGAATCATATCCCTTTTTTTAAACGAGAAGGGTGGATTTCCACAGGGTAAGTTCATGGATAAAGGAAGGGGCAAAATTAGGCTTTTGGTATAAAGTTTAATATGCAGACACTGTTTCTGTCAAGTCTTTGTCTAACTGGTGTATTGCTTTGTTCTTTCATCCCACCAACATCACTTGTTGGCAGAAGTATTCAGGACATGTTCAAACAGGGCTGATGCTTTGTCACTGCAAATGTACTCAGCATATTGGTGAACAGGATGGGACTTGCTGTGTCCAAGTCCCAGGCTGTGGTACAGCGCTACTCTTGAGTCTCCTAAAAAATAACAGCACTATAGGCTGAGAAAAACCCTTAGGCATGATTCAGATCAGCTTGGAGGAGACATTGCATCTGTCTGCCTATGTGCAACATTAATTTTTTGCTTTGTTGGATTTGATAAGGACTCAGGCTCTGTTGACTGGGTGCCAGTGCCAGGAGCAGGCTCACAGACATTGTGGGAATACAGTCTTTACTCTTTGTGTTGCACTCCTTGTTGTGCTAAAATTAGAGACTTTCTTGTATCAGCTTTGATTGCTTTTGAATTGGTGTTGTGGAATATTTCTGCTAAATGGATTTTGCAACCACTTCTTGCGTATGAAGTTGTGGATTCCTAAGTGGGCTCACAGCATGGTCAGTCCAGCAAGCTGCTCTTACTGAAAAAGCCCCTTGCATGATTTTAGATATTGGCTCCTTGTAATTGAGTTTGCTGCCTAAGGAATCAAGTTTAGCATGAGATGACATCCTAAACCCTGGCTGTTGAAGCTGGACTGTGGTCTCCTTTATTTGCTCAGTTTAGACCACAGCAAGGCAGCACTTCAGCATGCTTTTAATTAAAAAAGTAACTGTTGCTAGCTGAAGTCTGGTTTGTGTCCACTTTCTGTTGTCCTGCAAATGAACTGTGTGGACTCCACAGGTACACAAGTGTGTTATGGACTTGCTGTGGACCTGGATGTGCTATGACCACATTTCCACAGTAGCGTGCTGTAGCTGTTTAACCTGGATCATCAACCTGTCTTTTCTCCAAACCTTGAATCTCCTTCACACCACACATGCCTGCAGGCTTATCTGGATGCTCATGATACTGTCTGTGAGTTTTGCTTCATTCTGTGTATCCCAAACTACTTTAAGCTCGGTTATGTGAAAGCTAGTTGTAAACAGCTAACTTGAACACATGTGTAACACACAATAGATTCAGTTTCTTTTCAGTCTAAAGGACAGGAGGGTATAGAAGTATTCTGCTTATTTTTGTCCCTTTGGCATTAGGTTCTATTTGACAGGAATTTAAAACACTGGGCAAAAAGTGACAAAAACATAGCTCACTTTCTGTAGTGCGCTTGCTATATACATTCTCATGAAAAACTGAAATACAAGTTAAATACATACTTATTTTATTCCAAGCTATAGAATAAGTGTATTTAGGCAGTTTTTCAAAATGTATTGTACACTGCATGCACAATAAATCAGTTTAATAGCTTGACTTTTTTACAGTTTGTGTTCAAAGATCTGTATGATAGGCAATGAGATCATGTTACTTATTGTCCATTTAGACCACATCCATTTTGCCATAAAAAAAATTGGTAAACCCAAACCAATAAACGAAGTGTACATTAAATGTTTTAATATGAGCATTTGCTCCAAGAAAGAAACGTTACATGCTATTTTTAAATCCCTCCCAATAGAGGATTTTCGACAATAAACTTTTGAACGTGATTTCATTGCAGTATTACACTGAAGATTGGTGTAATATTTTTCAAAATTATGTCACAGTTTCCAAATACAGATTTTGGAACTTTATGCTAGAAATCAAGGTAATATTTTAGGGCCTGCACATCTAGCTTTAAACCTGTCTTGAAAGGATGACTTGTCTGTGTTAACAAGAAGTTCTACCTGTGTGAAATATCTTATAAAGATAGCTTATGACTAGCAGGTCACCATCAAATAGTAACATTAAGAATATTCAAGTCTACATTTGTCAAGACTTATGCATGCAGTTTTGTCTCTTACACATTCCTTAGTTGTGTGCACCAAAGGTGTTGTGCCTCAAACACCAACAACTTGAAATTACACTACGTAAATATATACATATAGGATGCTGTATATGTTTAGTACCAAGTAAATATAACTAGTCAAATGATACTAGACATATATAGGACCATAGTTAAATTCCAATTAAGAAAAAAGCAAGAAAAATTGTTTTTTTCCTAACAGCATTTCACAGTAGAAGGAGGCAGTCCTTTCTCACTGAATTTTCCCCCCTCAGGATTTGTAAACATCATAGCTCGTATTCTATCAGTATAATAATTGAATATTTTATTCATAATGGTAAGTAGCTAACCAACATGAATAAAGTTGTCATAACACGGTAGCACTTTCAGACAAAACAGGTATTTATTAAAAGAAACATTTATAAATATTTGTCTTGCATTTTAAACTACATTTTAATAAATAACAATATTTAAAAGTGCTGAATATGGTAGGATAGTCAGCAATGCCACTGTAAACAGATTTGTTTTTCCACTTTGCAGATTTTTGTTTTAGATCCCATTTTGTCAAACACTACAACAGTTAAAATATTTGCATAGGGAATAGAGAATAGCCCTTTTAATCATCTCCTGAATTCTATATAAATTACAAAACCAAATGAGTTTAAGAAACAGTTTGTTAAATTGTTCATATATATATCCAAAAAAAGCACACAGGTTTCAAGTAAAAAGAATGACTAAAAAATTCCCCAAACTTGCTATCTGAAGCATGTTCAATAAATTAAGAAAATGAGAGGTAGTAAAACAAAAGGAAAAAAAGAAGCCCCAGAAGATAAACTAAGACCTGCATCCTCCCAGTTACGGTGTCACAGCAGACCTGCCTCGGCAACAGCAGCTCCCGCCAAAGCCGGCACCGGAGGCTGCCCGCAGGAAGTAACTGAGGGACTGGAGCCAACTGTGTTCAGGCCAGATTCCACTCAAGGACACAACTGCCAGACCTTCCAGGCCAATCAAAAGTGATGGGCTCGTGCCGTGTTTAGTCCTACATAAGTGAGAAGAACCTTGCCTCTCAAGTCTTAGTATGGTTGTCAGTATTTTATATATATATATATATATATATATATATATATATATATATATATATATACATATATATATAACAAGTATTCAGAGCAATTTATTGGTATATCTTTAGCAGTTTATGAGGGATGCTAACACTCATTTTGCTTGTGTATGGTAGATGTGAAGATGGGTTTTTTTTTAAGTTCCAAGTTGCTGTTTCTTTAAACATCAAAATGTGTCCTGAAACTGGACATTCTTTGACAAAAAGGCCAAGCAAACACCTATTAAAAACACCATGGCAACCTAGTGATGGGAGTACTGTGCTGCCTTAGATATGATTAAGGGCTCAGTACAGGAATCTCTACCCAGGAAAGATACCCATTGTGTTTCTGTAGGCATTTTGCTTGGGTAAGATCTGTGGTTTTAGAAGCCCTTAAAGTTTGGTTTAATATTACTCTCCAACCCCCTTTTTTTTCAAAGGGTTGTTCAAAATCAATGAGGCTAGAAGCTAAGATAAGTCTTCTTTAACCCGCCACCTCGTAAAATGTTACTTCATTTAAAAACATTTTTTACCGGATTTAGCTTTCAAAAAAAATATCTTACAGAACAGATGCAGTTCATCAAAATGTTCTAAAATGCTCTAAAATGCTACATGTAGGCAATCTTTTATTAAATTTCTTTATTCAAAAAACTAAATTATCAAGACTTTTGTGTTGTTTCTTGTTTCTTTTTTTTTTTTCTGAAGTACATAACATTATACAACAGTGTTAGAACTGGATAGCCAGTCTTTAATAAATCAATTACAGTATCTGACATCTGAAATGTACATTGAAAGTCTTTGTTCTTTTAACAATTAAACAATATCAGCGCATAGACTGTGTCACCCAGAAATGGATCCCTTTAAGTGATTTGTGCTTTTTTTTTCTCCTTTTATTTTTCTTTTTCTTTGACATTGCAAACTCTGTAATGAAAATGCCACAGTTTTGGCAGTGAACAACCAGAGGAATCCTCCGCTTGATTTATTTTAAATAAACAGTGATTAAATAGCTCTTTTTCTCTATACAGAAATATTGGCTTCAAAAAGTCAGTTTATTGTACTCAGTAGAGCATGTAGAGTAATGCTACACCTTAAAAATTGGCTTTTTAGTTAGTGATGTTAAAAAGTGCAAGCCTCTTTCTGGTTTGCTGTAATTGTTTCTATGTACCATAGGACTGTATTGCACAAAAAAAAGTTTTTAAATACAGCTATAATTTATGTTATTGGATTAAATATTGCAACAACTAAGTGGTAAGTGAAGCAGTTTTACCTTGCACATGCAGTGTGAGGATACACAAGGAGACTGTTCATAAAACTACAAATACATCATTGCAATCTTAACTGCAGTAGGGTGAAAGGAGTGTGAAACAAATGTATTTTGGCAAATCCATTGATCCCCTCCAACGTCATCTTGAGCAAGGAGGACCTTGGTAAAAATGTAGACAGAGACCATAATATGTATTTTTTTTTTCTTCACAGTAGCCTGAGTAGTGCTTAACTGTAGTTCTCCAGGAACCCAGCTCCAGATGTTATTAAACTAATTTTCTTCCATCCCACCCACCAAAAAAAAACCCACGTTATTTTGTTTCAAAATTAAAACTAAGTTTCAGAAGTAGAGCCTGTAATACTTTCAACGAGAGACTTATAAATCTGAGAGTTCAAAAACCTTGGAAAAGAGTCTCTGTGCATCAAGGTGTATATCTGGAGCTGGGCATCTTCATACATGTGAGGGCTGGGATCCAACAAGTTTCTGTTGATCACTTCTCTCACCCGGGAATCAAGACTAACCTGAAGGAGATGAGCACAGAATAATAAAACAGTAACATTGGAAAAGCTGAAATATGTATCTTTATTTCTCAGGGCTCCATTGAACATGCTGAGTTTATCAGTTATTCAAGTAATGCTCTGTACTTCTTTCAGAACCATCACACAATTACTGGTTAATGCACTGAGAGCATCAACTCTATTTCAGTTTTGACTTGGTCTTTGCATCCATCTTAAGATCTGTACAATGAAATGCAGCTGTATAGCAGATTTAATGCAGTGCAACTGCAGTTTTCTAAAATATATTGTTTTACCTTAAAAAATAATTTAATTTGTATGCATTTAAAAATGTTTCTCTTAAATTAATGTTGAATTACCCTCATTCGGACAGTTGCAGGGTTTTTTTTCTGAGAATTTGTGGTTAAACTTTTTGAAAATTTCTATTAATCATTCTTATCTGGCTGCCCTAGAGATTTTTTTTTCTTTTTTTTTTTTCAGGCGCTACACTTGTGCCTTACAAATTACCCAGGGATTTTCATCATTTTTATTGTGTTAATCTCCCCATTATTATTAACTATTTCAGATTTTTTTCTTCTTATCAGGACTCTTTAACATCTGATAATTCATACTTTCAGGAGATCATATATCCATATTGAAGTTGTTAGCAAGTTTCAGTTTTAGCTTCTCATTTATTTACCATTTGTGATGAACTCCTGTGCATAGGCAGAAAAGGGCATATTATGCTTGGGATGAATGCCCAGATAATTTTAGAATATCCTTTAGAAATCTGAGTGAATGTACAGTTTATCCACAAAATGCTCTAAAACTGCGTAAATTAATGTGTTCTGGATTAAATGAAATGTCAGGAGCAGCAAAGCCCACTGGAACCAGCAAGGGTTTACTCAGCTAAGAAGAAAAGGGCTAAAATCCTGAGTAGATAAATACCAAGAAGAGATCAGTTAAGATACTGTGATTCACACCAAGTTGCAATCTGACCCTACTGCTCTGCAACAGTACAAAGATATTCATACGATGTGAAGGATTGATTTCAACCCTGGAAAGCTCCATGTATTAAGATACTTTGATACATTAAGGATGGTAGCCAAGATGAAAACTCAGAATATGTTTGGATGTGTGAGCCTGTGCTTTCATACATGGTGAAGCAAAGTCTTTGAAATACGCTGGTGTGGTATGGTATAGAATGGTACAGCACTGAGAAGTAAACATACATTTTTATTCTATCTTCAGTACCAGCTGTAGGATCTGGCATTGTTGGTTTGTTGGCATATTGGAGTACGCTACTGACAGAGCAGACAAGCTTTCTCCTCTAATATCTGCTGTCATTTGGTTATCAGTCACAAGGCACAACTATGAGAGACCAGTGGTGCTGCTCAGCCAGTGAGTGTGGGCAGGAATACACTGCTATGATAGTTTTGAGTGGCAGTGTTGCAGCCATGTGTCTTCAGAATATGTTTGAATAGATTTCAAGCCCAGACCATTGCATTTCTATGGCACAGAAAGGACACACTAAGATTTAAGCAATTCTCCCCCTGACATGCAGGCACACACATTTATATAAACCAAAACCAGTTTATGCAACTAATTGGTTCTTCAATATCAAACATAATAGCTAGGAGAAAAACCCCTCAAATTTGGCAGGTTAGTGGGGGTTTGATCCACTGAGCATAATAAAAGTTAATTACACTCAGAAAATGCAAAAAACAAAATTAATTATGGAACTGTTAATTTGCATTGTAGTTTTTCAATGACTCACTGAAGCCAGATGGCAAAACTAGTTGGAATTACTAAAGGTATTTTCTTTCTAAACAGATGAATACAAAGTAACTGTTTAGAACACTAAGACCTTCTGCCTCAATAACTTCTTTACTGTATGAGTCATGCTAAATATATCAGTTCTTATGTCAAAAGGTAACATCTGGAAAGGGATGCCTGGATGAACAAGAATTTTTCAGTTCCCATGCTGCTCTAAAGCATTGCAAACAGTTCTTTTTTGCCTCCTAAGATTTCCAATATGGGCAGAAGCAACTGGATTGATGAGATCTGTACACATCCAGCACCAAGTTTGTGAGTAGCTTTGTTAAACTCTAGATCAAATAATGCTTAGTTAGTGTTTGAATTTTAAATGCTGATTGGTCTTAGTTTATAAAGACAATTGAGCATTTATCAGATACCCATCTGGTAAAAATACAGTATTAGAAGAAAAACTTATTATTAGCTTGCTGTATTGGCAATTGTATTTCACTCCAAAGTGAAAGTACATATTATGACACAAGAGAAGATAATGGAGCTATAATTCACTTTTGGCTTCATTCATATGAATGAAGTTGCAATTTATTACTGAATGTAGTGAAAAAGGTGAAATGCAGGAAGAAAGGTACACAGCATAAATTAGCACAACACCATTGAGTGGAAATTCAAATGCAATGCACAAAGACAAGGCAAAGAAGATAAAGGTACATGATGTGGCCTAAGAAAAACTCTTCTATAGTGCTTATATATTTATGTATCTCTTTGTATTACAAAACATGGTTTGATAGGGCTGCTTTTTACTACAGGTGAAGGTAATTTCAAAATTTGTCTATTTCACTTAAGGGTTGAATAAAGTCTTATAAAATTCCCTATATATTATCCATTTCATTAGATAAAATATGTCAGCTTCATTCTTGGACTCTCACATAGCAATGACCAGTAGAAATTCAGATTTTCTCCCAGACAATTGTAGCAGCAGATAAATCTACAAAGATTCTGATTTAAATTCCTTAAGTTTGGTGCTTTTTCTCCAGAAATCCACTTGCATTACGTATTTCTTTTCTCTGTCAGATATGTAGCATTACTAAAGAGGCAAACCTATTTATCAGCTTTCTTTAACTGGGGTTTCTTAAGCCTTATAGAGAACCTGGATGTGTTGCGGCTGGTAATGGTAAATGGACCCGTGCCTGCATCTCTACTGTTTCTGTCCCTTCCTTTCCTGATTTAATGTTCATATTAAGGCTTTCATCTGACAGCCTTTCAGACCCTCACCCAGCAGTCCAGTGTATAACATTTCTGCTCTGGGATAACAGAAAATGCAAATGTAACATTTACAGCTTTACCTCTTTTGGTGATAGTATAGAAATGTAATCTTCATATATAAGTCTTGCTTTTTCTTCAATAACTTTCTTGTTCTGTTCTTTCTTAAGATCTTCACATGCAAGCCAGAAAAGCAGGTTCTCCTCACTATACTCTGTTCTAAGAAACTCTCTGAAAAGGTTCCTCCCAGCTGGTGTTTTCATCATCTTGTCAAAATTCTGAGCCCAAGACAAAATTTCATCTGCAGTAGGGTTTTGGCTGCAAAAGAAAATATCATTACAAATATGCTTCTATTTTTGTAACAGTGTTTTCATACATTCATCCAAAAATTCTCCTTTCAACTGCACTTTAGTTCAAAGTGAAAACTGGAAGCAACAAGGCTTCAGCAATAACAACAGGGAATTTTGTTTGCTCTTCACTTGTGCATACATTATCCCAATATCCCACTAAATGTGTTTAATGTTATAAGATATGCACTTGGCTTTTTACGAGTTTTCTGCTGGTGCTCTTAGCCACGTGGCTCAAAGACAAAATCCTACAACAGCACTGAATTCCTGTCTCTGCAGTTAAAGGACTTTTTCATGTAGAGTTTTAGATGACACCTGATGTCCCTGCCTGCCTCTGATGATGACTGTACACAATTTGATTTAGGAGGAACAAGGAAAACAAAAAGCTCTTGGCAGCCAAAAGCATGCTAATGAGGCCAAACAAAGTCATAGTTCAAAGAGATTTTAAATTAATATATTTCTCTGTTCTTGTACCTAAGGGCTGCTAAGCTTCCCTCTGTTTCATGCTCTTGAAACGAATGATGATTTTTTGGCATGAGATGTGGCGGATTTTGCTGGCAAAACAGGAAAGAAAAGAAATGGGGAGAAGTCCTTATTTCCATTTCCTGAAGGAAACTATTTGTGGCTTTTACCAGTGGATGCACTGGGTAAGTGATCAGAAGACTTACTGGCATCAGTAATCCATTAATGTACCAATGAACAGTTTAAGAAAGTAATTCTCCAGATTACTTAGCAACAATAAAATATAGTTTCAAACTTAATTTTGAGCACTCACCCTCTCTTTCCTGATTCAACACAAGAGCTTTACTAGCTGTTGTCATTAGCTTCTGTGCTACCATGATGCACAATAAGTGACACTTGTCTATATAATTTGTGCTCAAGTCAATTTATCAACTCCTACTCTCTATGCAAGGCAGACTGGATGCTGGGAAGCTATTTGTAATAAATCCCAAATTGTTTAACTGAAAAGTAATTGTAAACTGAATGAAAAGGTTTAAAAACAGATTTGAAGGTGAACAGTCCTCTCAGGACTTTGCACTCTCCACTAAGGAGAGTGCAAAGGACCTGATGAGTGGAATGGGGCTGACAAACAACCTGGGTTCCCTTGTTGTCTGTTGGGAAGCTCTTGACTTATTATATTTTGTAGAAATCTATTATATTGTCTTCTCATAAAAGACAATGATTAGCAATAAAGGCAATGAATTGTTTGGGTTATTTTTGTTACCATACATATCCTTTAAATTTGAATTTCCTTCTTATGGGATTAGAGAACTCAGATTACCATTTACCATTACCCTGACAGATTACCATTTTTCCCCACATAATAAACAGGGGCCCAAGTTTTAGACAGAAGTAGAAGCTCAGACTTTCAGTGTGTTTAACCTAGTTTGCAAGGTATGTGGTTTTTGTTTAATTCCAGTGAAACCATAGTTCAAAATATTTTATGAAAGGTAGCCACATTAAAACTCTGGTCATGAAGTACACTTGTGAGTATTATTTTTTCTTCTTGTCTGGAGAGACAGGAAAAAATGCTGTCACAGGTAGCAGAGGCTTTTTATAGAGACCCACATAAGGAACTGTGTATACACCTTCCATTTCTCGCTGTGGTTCTTCCCCACAAGTAAGAAATTGTAAATAAGCTTGACTTGTGAATGTCTCTGCTGTCTTTTCATTGTCAGGACAGATTTTGCTTCCTTTTGTATAGAATTTTTTTGGAGGAAAAGGACATTCCCAAAGAAATAAACCCAAGACAAATGTTGATATTAGTTAAAGACAAAGCACTTATTAGATAACAGTTTGACCAACTTACCATTCTTCTATGACCTGGATACTCTCCAGTTTGGTCGTATGTGTTGGCCTTCCTGCATTGTCTCCTCTATCTTCATTCCTAACAGTGAGGCTGCAATGTAGTACAACACTTTATTTTGTCTAGAGAAAGTTAATTTAAAACAATGACTATAGTAATGCGAACTTCTAAAAGATTAGATCTATATAGGGTATCATTTTTCACTCTTGTGTCTAAATTTTGGAAAAAACTTTTTATAATGACTTTTCCCCTGAACTATGATGCATATTAATTTACAGTTGCTATTAGCACATGCAGTGTTTTAGAAGCTCACAGTTATCCACTGAAAGATGGGCAAACACTTACAGGTCACTTTTGGAGTGATTTCACTTAGTTAACTGAGAATACTAGCTACAGTATGAGTAGGGGGGGTATGAATATCTGAACTGGATATTGATGGGCCTTTGATGCCCCACCAGTTCTGCATAGTTTTTCAGGCTTTATGAATGTTCCCTTTTCTCTTTCCAAGATACAGTGGCAGTAGATGGCTCAGATACAGAACTTAGCATGTGGTAGCTCCTTATGATTTCCTCTTCTGACCTAAATTTGTTTTCCATTCCAAAAAGTAAAGCATACTGGCATCTGAGCAGAAAGGCCTCAATCACCCTCATATAACCACAAGCAAGGAAAAGAAAGGCTTCCTTTATGCAAGGATGTTTTTAATGGGTTTTTTTGCTTCTTTTTAGAACCGCTAAATAGAATCACTTATTGTTTTGCAAATATCTTTTTAATCAGATTTGCTATAGTGGTAAAGAATTCCTCTCTGTGTGTTTTCAGTGAATCTTCTGGAATATGGTATTGCCAGCAAACCCACAATTCCTGATAACTACTGAAATAAAGTATCTTTTGAGTGACATAGATATTCATGTCTATTGTCTATGGAAAACCTGGTTCTGATAATTAAGCTTAAGAAATAGAATGTAGTAAGGAGATGGAAATTTCCTTTCATCAGGTGTTCCCTATGTGTCTGTTTGAGAGAAAACAAGCAACCAAGCAAAAAAATCCCCTTTCCAATCTCAAGAGCTCATATTTTGAATATTAAGTATTCATCATACAGTGATGGTCCCAGTCACTCCAAGTGTTGCTACAAAAATATGTTTGTAGCATAAAGCTTCTCCCTCCCCCACTAATCTAAATAGCTCCTGCTCAGCTCTAAGAAGAAATCCCAGCTCTGAGACATCTTTAGCACAAATAATCTTTTTTTATAGGTTCTCTGCATTTATGAGTTTCTTCAACATTTTTTTCAAGCATTTGGTAGGGCTAATAGGTATTCTCAAATAGTCTTCTGAAAACTGGAAGTTTAAGCTCCCAGGTAAAGCAGAGCACATATTAAGACTTAAACATTACAGAGACGTACACTTGCAAATGAAGCTCTTTGATACTGGTTGCTCCTTTACTTACCTGCCAAGACCTTAGTTCAGGCCCTTGGTCCTGCTTCCCCTGTTACAGCGTAGGAATGCAGCTCCAGTGCTGCTAAGGTTGTTAGGGTGTCATCAACTGCTGCAGGAGAAACAACACATCCTGAACTCTGGGGTTGGCAGGTAAAAAGCCTTTCTGTCTCCTCTGACCTGTTGTTCGTCAGTCTACAGAGGGAGCACCCAGGAAAGTCAGAAAGGAGTTCCACATACAGGAGAAAAAAAAGGGGCCATCCACTTTCCTTCTGTCTTGTAATCTTTAAGTCCACACATGACTGCTTAGAGTCACCTTGCATCTGGCTAGAGCACAAAGTTGGAGTGAGGGAGAAGCAGGGAAGGCACAAAGGCACAAAGCTCTCTCTCCCTCCCTCCCTCCCTCCTTCCTTCCTTCCCTCCTTTGCAGCCCATAGGTAGAGCAGCATTTGTCTTCTGCAGAGAGCAGAATGTCCTTTGGTTCCACAGAAGAATTTCCTCCCTCCCACAGAGGGAGGAAACAGCTTGTGCAGGTTGCAAATGCAATAGGGTGTTCATCTGAGTCTGCCTAAAAGAGAATAAAGCTGCCTGTTTTCCTTCCTCCATCACATGAGCAGCAACTACGCTGTCCTGAGATAATTTACTTGTCAGGCACTAGACATTCAAGGTTTGGATGCAGAGTCTTACTGGAAGTAGAAAGTGACTCATCTGAGAGCAGTAAGTATACACTGCTAATTTATTGTCTGGGATCAAATACTGTTTGCTTTGCTCATGCAAAATCTCTGCTAGACTTGGAAGAATCATCATGGGTGATGAAGGGGAAGCAATGATAGTGAAGTAGTGAGTGGTGAAAAAGAGAAATAGGAATAGGAGCAAGAAAGCCATGTTGACTTCATTGCAATGTTTGTTTATCAAAGGAATAACTAATAGACAGTATGCACTTTTATTTTCTTTTAAAAAACCCCAAACAACAAAACAAACAATAAAAAGTTCAGATTGTGGACCTGGAACGTAGTATGCAGTTTTATGGTATCTGTACTGTAGTGACAATGCAAGGTACACACTTGGCCCTGATTCCTTCATCTCACCAGTCATAACTGGAGTTTAATGGCTGAAGTGAGTCAGGGCTGCAAAGCAGAGAACATTTCAAAGACAGAAGCGTCACACTGGGTTGGGACATGCTTAGGTATTGCATTTAAAACGGTGATACTTTTGTAACACATCTTGGCCTAAATTCTGCATTATGTTTCCTGTGACAAAACTAGCACTACATTTCAACTTTTACTTATCTACATCTGTCAAGGTTAGAGTTCCATCATATATGTTACTTTTGATGTCTTTTTCCTGTGAATGAATTTTTATACTGAAGTACACTCAATTCAGGTATGTTCTGTTTTCACTCAAGGAACTGGTTCATGATCTCTTAGAAAAAGAAATATTTAAGTATATTTGACTGCAAAGCTAGCTTGAAAGCAGCCTAACTGATCACAAGAACAGACTGCTACCTTTTGACTTGAAATGACAGCACAGCACTGTTCTTTCCTATGTTGCTATATTCAGCTGGAAACACCCTATCTGATCACATTTCTCTGTGGAATTCAAGCAGTCTGCAGCAGCAAAGGTGTTCTGCATACCTGGAGCTGATGTCATTGATACATTAATCCATCCTTGAAGCTAGCTGTCTGTGTCAAAAGTATTATGCTGTATAGTGTAATACTATACAGACTAAAAGTAACAGGCTAAAGATTAACAAAATTATCTTAGTTAAGGGTTTAAGAAAAGAAAATTGCTTATAAATCTTATCAAAAAGTAGTTAAATGAAAGGGAGGTGCACTAGAGAGACATCTGATGCAAACTAACATCTTTGGTGCTATTATTATTTATTAGTTGAAATACACCCAGCAGATATCTTTAAAATTCAGAGATGCAAATTAACCATGATAAAAGCACAACAAAACTACTAATACCTTAAAAAGGGAGAGCTTGGGATGTCTAAAGCAGAGTTTAAATGAAAAGCACTAGTATGAGTTTATTCTTTGTTCATATGGAAGGTTTGTTCTGCCCACTGCTATGCTGATTTTATTGCTCTGGAGACTACAGTAAAAAGTACTTCAGTGGCCTGAGCTCAGTGTACCTTTTGAATATATCTTGGGTTCATGACTGCTACAAAACCAATAAGCTTCTTGAACTACTGCAGCAGTATCATTATGAGTAATTTCTGCTTGGAGCAAAGGTATTTCTATTTTGTAACTACAAATGCTTTATAAGTAAAAAAGTTAATGATCAGGGACTACCTGAAGCAGCATACATGTTGAACAAATAACCACAAATACGGGTGAGTGTGTCCAGGTTTCTAGCTGATGTGTTTTTGGGATTTAGAAAACTGCTCTTTATTTATTTAGCTGCTCTTATTTGGCTGTTAATATTCAAGTTAAGCAATTAAGTAATTATTCTGTTGACTAATTACATAGCTAAATTGGTATTGAAGCACCCTATTGCATGAGAAGATAAAAAAGCCAAGTTAATTGCATAGAATCGTCAAGAGTTGAACTAATTTAAGAGCAAATATGTCACTGACTCTTCCTCCAGCTGATGGTTTTAGCCTTTTTGTAAGTTGCATCCCTACTGCAGCACTTGCCTTCTACTGCCTTTAAGAAACTGAAGGTAATTTAGAGTTTGCATCTGACCTTTCATTCTCTGTATATCCAGTAAATAAACGCTATTTAATTGGTTCCCAAGAATCACCTTCTCATGTGCCAGTAGCCTAAATCTGGTAAATAAGTGAAATTACTCTTTTCATTATGGCAAGAAAACCATGCCATTGTGAGGGGTGCCAGGATTAATATTCCACCCATGCATGGCTGACCAGGTCCTATTCATTCAGGTATTTTCTGTTATGTGCCTCACATGCAACATATCCTCACAGTATTTTGTAATTATGTCTGGCACTGAGGGTAATGTGGCTATTAAAACCTCTTACCTTAATGGTGTTTTTTTGTTCTGCCATGCAGATAAGGAGCAGAAATCAAGCTGGGTCACTGTGAATGGATATTGGGTTGACTGTTTAGGAGATCTATGCTGAGTTTCTTATTTTTGGCTGAAACTTACAGTCTGATGGGCAGTGACTGCATTTTAAGCTGGACCTGTTTATGTCATGCAGTAGGGCCACGAGCCCTCAAGCCACAAATGTAACAGAAAAATCTTCTTTATTCTAGGTCAAAGGTCACATTAATTTATGTTCATACATAATCTGAAGGCAGAATTCTGTTTTCACATGAAAATCAATATTCAGATAAGATTCTCTGGATAACAGATGTGCTGACAAGTTTCCTTTGCTGATTGACCCTTTGAATGAATATATCTCACAGGCACTGCACTTCACCCTGTGCTACTCCTAGAATTTTTTATTAGCATCAGATCAAGAGACATAATATTTTTAGCTTTCTTAAAAAAACCCAATAACTCTCTCCCCACAAAACACCTCAAGAGATCAAGATTTACTTATGATTTTAAAATTACAGTAGATGATTTAAAATGACCATTCCCCAAAAGTCTTGAAAAACACAATTTACCACATTTGCCAAATAGATTCAGACAGGAAATATATTTTCTCTTCTGTTTGGAAGAGGAAAAGTCTTTAAATGAACTAATTAC